TGACCGAACTAACACTTCTTCTTTTTTGCAGATTTCGCCCACCTCCATTCCCTGTATAGCTACCCCAACCTTGCAGTTTTGCGAGCCGCACTACGGATTAAAGAAAGAAGTTGGGCTAAGCTTCTGAACTTCGAGCCGCCTACCGGTACAGCGGTCGCCGAAAAGCAAGGGTAACCGATTTCCTTCTTGAGGAAGCACCAGAACCGGACCCAACTTTACCCGAAATAAGACTTGTTCCATTAACTGCTGAGGAAGAAATGGCAAAGAAGAGCAGAGTCAGGGCCCTTTTAACTTCAACGACCAGAGCCAAAGTACAGCCATCCGTCGTGGCGCAGCCTGCCGTTGTGGCCCTCCCTTCTCAGCAGCCTTCTACATCTCGCCCTTCCAAACGCGCCCGACCTACATCGACCGAACAGCAACTTGTCGATGAGGTTGAATCCATCCCCCAGAGCCCTCAACCTTCCCCTCAACCGGAGCAAACTGACCGAGCTGAATCTCCGAAGTGGGCTCCGCCGCTGACCTTCAACGACCGAGACATCAAAGCTACTGACTCGGTCGTGGCTGAAAAAGACCACCAACTGGCCTTTAACCTGGCCAAAAGTGTGTGCCTCCCCAAGGACATGGAGCACCACTTGAAGCAAAACCGATCAAATCGCAAGATATATCTATATATATATAAATACATGATGTTCATCCATTTGAAAAATGAACCGCCCATCCGAATTATGTTCCATTTCCAGAAAACAAAACAGAATTTGCAGCAGAGGAAAAAACAGAAATACAAAAAACAGAATCTGATTCCAGGAAACTAAATAGGATGAATAAAAGCATATCTATTCTGATAATACACATGATATAACCGCTCTGATACCACTTGTAAACATAAATTTCAGAACATGAAACTTCATGTTTCGGATCATCTACCATGTATATCATCAAGAAAACAAGACTAAAACGACATACCTGAATCCATCGATGAACGGTTAAACGGAAGCGTCTGATTGTCAATAAAACCTTTGATATTGACTATGTTATTGCCTTCTAATCCTTTCCCCTTTGGTGCCTTATGTTTCTCCTTGAGAGGATTTAGGAAAAATGGTAGTGTTCTTTTTCACCTTGGGAAGGAATAGGGACCATAACCTTTTAAAGGTTGTAATTGGTTTTCAAAACTGAAAGGTTGTGGAAGTTCAAAAGAATGAAAACCAACTTTAACCAATATGTTTTAATTTTTATTTCTGCCCCTCATAGAAATAGAAATTATACAACTAGTATCTACAATTAGGTCTATAGCACATATACCCTTAAGCCTATTAACTAAATTAAATCACTTAAATTGTAGGCTTCTTATAAATGATAACACCACATTTAATTATGTGGTCCCATTGAGACATTATCTAACAACCGATATTGTGTAATTTATTAGCCGGTACTATGCCAGAGTTGATTATATATATATTTTTTAAAAAATGTGCATCAACGTATATGAACTATTTGATGATTTTTTATATATTGTTTAATGATTTGTTGTGTATTTGTTTGTTACTATAATTGTTGGTTGAACAATCATTTTTATTGCCATTGAACAATCAAAATCGTCGATTTTCATTTTTTTTTTATTTTTTAAATTTTGTTTCGTGTTTTCACATTATAGTGTAAATGTTCACATTGGTATGAGTTTTGTTTTTTTTAAGGCTACGTGTATATTAATTGTAAATTATGAACATTCACATTACATTTTGGTATGAATTTTATTTTTTAGAAGATTAGTTGTATGTTTATTATTTTTGTTACTATGTTTATTGGTTGAACAGTCATTTTTGTTATCATTGAACAATCGAAATAGTTGATTTCTACGTTTTTCACTTTTGTTTTATATTTTCACATTGCAGTGTGATTGTTCACAGTGGTATGAGTTTAGTTTTTTTAATGTTAGTTGTATGTTAATTGTAAATTATGAATATGTACATTATATTTTGATATGAGTTTTATTCTTGTAAAAGTTAGTTGTATGTTTGTTGTTTATTGCGAACATTCATATTGTACTTTGATGTGTTATGTTTTTTCGAAGATTAGTTGTATATATATTAGTAGTCATCCTAACACAAACAATAATATATTATTTTGGTCACAAACATAGTGTGTATATAGATATATGAATGTTCACATTAATTTTATAATACAAATAGGTAGTTGCACCCAATGTTAATGTTCACACACTCATAACATTGAGTGTGCGTATGGTTTCATGAGGAGATGTTATTTATTAGCATGCATTTTTAATGTGAAAGTTCATATCAACATTTAGGAGATTTTCAGAAGGTAGATTTAGGATTTTGAGAATGTGAGATTTTTTTGTAGAATAATGGAGAGATATTTTTCCTAGAATGAGGGAGAGATTTTCTCCCTGGAATGAGAAGATTTTCTCTAGAATGAGGAGGGATTTTTTTTTTCATGGAATAAGACACAGATTTTATTCATGGAATAGGAATTGTTGTTATTTTTTATTATGTATTAATTTCAAAATAGAAACAAGAACAGAAAGTTAAAAGGATGATTTGGCTATATTACATAAAATAAGACCTAATGGAATAGTGAAAAAGAATATTGATTAGATGAAACATAAGTTTTAAGAATGAGATTTACTAAAAAAACTTCCTTGATTTAAATTATTTTTATATTTTAAAGTGCATATCTATTTACATAAATATGTTTATCGAATATAATTATTTGTACATATATATTTTTTGATTGTTTTTCAAAAAATAAAAATAAAAATAATTGTACTTATTGTTTTAAAGAAAATGAAATAATTATAATATATAATATATTTATACTAAATACTAACAAAGAGATGTTGATGTAGTGGTTTGCATGTGGGTTGGACCTGGAGGGGGGCTAAATTATAAGAAAATGAGTTTCCAAAAAGTAATAATTTTAAATAAATTTTTTCTTACATTTTTCAATATTTTTGTAATTTTTTATTTGAAATATATTTTCTCTCCTTTTGAGTTAAAAAATAATTAACAATTAAATTATAAATTTAAGTGTTCTTATTCGTTTAACTTGACAATACAATTTTTTTTCCCCCTCTAACATAGTCAAGTGTAGTTACAATTTTATTAATTTTAAATTTTATCACTGTCATTGTATTTGAAAAGAAATTTGGCAGTTGTATTTTTTTAAACTAGGGTAAATTTTTTATTTTATTTTATTTTATTTATTTTAAGTGTAGTTGATTTTGGGACTTGTTCTTAAATCAAAGTCTTGGGAGGCTATAAATGCACCCTAAGAATTAGGTTGGAGACTCCATTACTTTGAGCACCTCAATAATAAATTTGAAATTTTATTTATTTGTTTGGACATTCCAAATAATACCTATCTTAATCCTAAAATCCCTAAAATCAAATACAAATCTACTTTGTACACCCTATTACCCATAAAAAGAGGAACAAAATTAGAAGAGAATTTCAAACGAAGAGAGTTTATTTGAGACGAAGAGGGATTTTAAGCGACGAAGGTCTCTTTCCACTCTACATCCATCAGCGGTCTCCTTCCACTTCATATCAGATAAAGATCTCTTCCCACTCTACATCCGCCGACAACTATTGATTTTCGGATACTCAATACTGAACATAAAACAATCGGTTCTAGTTGTTTCATATGGATACTCAGTGCCGAACAAAATATATTTGTTCGGATACTTAATTCCAAACATTTGAAGTTTGTTCGAATACTCAGCGTCGAACACAAGAAAATCGGTTCTAGTTTTTTTATATGGATATTCGTGCCAAACAAAATATATTTGTTCAGATACTTAATTCAAAACATATGAAGTTTATTCATATATTCAATGCCGAACACAATAAAATTGGTTCCAGTTGTTTTATATGGATACTCAATGCCGGAGAAAATATATTTGTCCGGATACTTAATTCTAAATATATGGAGTTTGTTCAGATACTCAATTCCAAATGAATTCGGAAAACTAAACTACAAAAAACGATGTACAACAATTAAAAACTACTCTCTCTATAGAAAATTGTTTGAAAATCTTCTTTATTGTCAATTGTTGATTTCAATATGAAATAGAATGCTTAAAGCAAATAGAGTTGGGTTAGGGTTGGGTATGAAGATGCAAGGTGATGAAAGTAGGAAGAAAAGAGAGAAAATGAATATTGATGTTGATGATTAATGGAGTGTCCAAAACACTTTTATATATATATATATATATATATATGTATATATATATATGTATATTTTTTCTAATATCAAGTCTTTTTTTTATCATTTTAAATAGGAGTTAATAGTAATAAAAATATAATTAAATTGGGGTGCCTAACCTAATTTTTGGGTTGCAAATAGAAACTCCCCAAGGTCTTTGGATCTTTGATGTAAAAGGGAAACTTTCAATGTTGAATGATAATTTCACTAGCAATGCATTCAAAACATTACATATAGCTAAAATTTATAATTATTTTAAATTACACATAATTACATATATCAAATTTATAATTATTTTATATATATCAAATTTAGATATCGTTTGTCAACCTTCAATTTTAATTAAAAAGTTAAAAAATCATTATAAATTGTCACATTACTTTCTCTACTTTTTTTATATATCAATTCGTAAAAAATTAAAAATTTACTAAAATAATCTATATCCAAACGAGGCCTTATAATTATTTTAAATTATTGTATTGGAGGATCACAATCCTAACATTACATATAGCTAAAAGGAGCCAATTAGGTAAAGGCAAAATGATATATAGGTTTACGTTTTAGATTTATTTTCTAGATTTATTTTCTAAATCCAGTGATATGTCAAGAAGATAATTGATTTAATTATCAATTAATCATTTCTTAACACTGAATCTAAATCTAAAAAGTGAATCTAATTTTTATAACTGAATTATAATGTTGGTACGTAAAAGTTAAAAGAGGTGGAGATGCCATAGTAAGCATCTTCTTTTTGGCTGCTTCAAAGCAAGATTATCAAGAAAGTACATTTCAATAGGCCAAAGAAAAAAAGGAGAGTATATTTCAAGAATGAAAAATACACTCATACGATATAAACAAGCCGGCCCAGCGGATTCTCCATATTAGTCTTTAAAAGAGAGAGCAAATACAATTCAATCCGACCACAGAAAAATGGAAGATGAATATAATTTGTTCACTTTAGTCATATTTTCCATCTTCTTGATTTTAGTTTTCAAGTTAATATTTTCTAAACATGCAAATAAAAGAAATCTCCCTCCGAGTCCCCCAGGCCTTCCGATCATAGGCCACCTCCATCTCTTGAAAGAACCAGTTCACCGAACCTTGCATCAACTTTCTATCAAATATGGCCATGTTTTGTTTCTCCGGTTCGGGACTCGCAAAGTCGTGGTAGTCTCTTCACCCACGGCTGTTGAAGAATGTTTCACCAAAAATGACATCATATTCGCAAACCGTCCCAACTTGCTGGCCGGAAAAATCCTCAATTACAACAACACCACCATGGGGTTTGCCTCCTATGGCGAGTACTGGCGCAACCTCCGCCGCCTCACGTCTCTTGAGATCTTCTCTGCTAGTCGCCTTGCCATGTACACAACCATCAGGGAAGAGGAGGTTAGGCTACTACTAAAGCAACTACACATAAACTCGGGTGGCGAGTTTGTTGCGGTGGAGCTGAGGTCCAAGTTGGTAGAGCTGTCTTTCAATATCATGACAAGGATGATAGCTGGGAAGAGGTACTTTGGAGAAGACAAGGTGAATGAAGAAGCGAAGCAGTTTCGGGATATTATGAGTGAGGTGGTGAAGCTTCATGGGAATTCGAATTTAGGAGATTACTTGCCAGTGTTCCAGTGGGTGGACTTTCAAGGGGTGGCGAAGAAGATGATGACGTTGAGGAAGAAGATGGACAACTTCTATCAATTCCTTCTTGATGAGCAACGTAAAAAGAGGACCGAGTCTGCTGCTCTATCACTTGATGATGGAAGCCACAGCGGGAGGAAGAAGACAATTATTGATATTATGTTATCGCTGCAAGATACTGAACCGGCATTCTACTCTGATCAAACTCTTAAAGGTCTTATACTGGTACGTATCGATGCCTTTCCAATTATCATTCCGGATATAGCAATGCAATGGAGTTTACATTCAAAAATGTACGTGACCCACTCACTTAGGTCTTGGAGTAAGAAAATGAGATAAGAAATAAGATTATATGCAACAACTTTTTTTTCTAGATATGAAAAATTCTAACATAAAAATGCAGTATTGAGTGATTTTGTAAATTCTATACAAATCGCTAATGATTGCGGGCCTATCTGGCTTCTTATCTCTGGTACCAGTGGTTATAGTATTAGTAGTGGTAATTTTAGTGTGGTGCTGGTAGCAAGGTTCTTCTAAATTACCGTATCGGGTAACGTAAAGGTATCGGGATCGGTAGGTATCGGTAGTATCGATCGGTAGGTATCGGTAGTATCGATCGGTATGTATCGGGAATCGGGTGTCGCAGCGGTGAAATTTTAAAAATCATTTTACAGGTTTTTCAGCTTTTTCTTTCCCGTACCGGTCCGAATTGATGAGTATCGGCCCGTCGCGGCTTGTAACACTTTAATTTCATAAAAATATAAACATAGCGCTATATTAGTTCCACAATAGCAACATGTTTTTCTATAATAGCGACATACTATTCTAGAATTTAAACAACCATAAGAAAATTGGTTTCACTATAAGTATTTAGACCATTACAAATTAAAACTAAAAACTAACAAATAAAAGTAACAAAAGAAGATATTATATGATTTTAGGTTTGAGTTTAGATTTCATATGGAATAAGAGAAGATACTATGGGGGAGGATGTATGATAAAAATATAGACTATTTATATACGGTCTGGATCGGTTCCAATCCGGAACCGTGGGGTTCAATTCGGAACCAATTCGTGGACTACGGATTTTTAATTATTCAATCCGGAACTGAACCGCGGATTCAAAAAACCAATCCCAACCTGTTGGATTGGACTGGACTGGATCGGATTACGGATTTCATAGATTCCTTACTCAGCCCTAATAGTAGTGGTAATTTTAGTGTGGTGCTGGTGGCAAGGATCTAAATTACCGTATCGGGTAACGTAAGGGTATCGATCGCGGAGTATCGGTATCGGTATCGGTAGTATCGATCGGTATGTATCGGGAATCGGGTGTCGCGGCAATGAAATTTTAAAAATCATTTTACAGGTTTTTCAGCTTTTTCTTTCCCGTACCGGTCCGAATCGATGAGTATCGGCCCGTCGCGGCTTGTGTAACGGTTACAGGCCGATACGTACTGGGACTCGGCTGATACTCCTGCGATTTTCAATCTTAGCGGTATACCAGTCTGTATCCGTCGTGGCGCTCCATTTTTCCGATACGTATTGGCTGAAACGAAGCGTATCGGCCGATATTTAGAACCATGGCTGGTGGTGGTAACATTGGTGGTGACAACAATGGTGGTGGCATTGATAAGATTCAAAAAAGAAAAAAGATAGGGATCATGAAAAAATTTTCATGAAACTGATCATGAAAAATTTATGACCCTTGGATTACCTTGATTAATGTGTGGTGTTTTATTTTAAGTATAATCCAAAGGTCATAAATCTTTCATGATCATTTTCATGAAAGTTTTTTCATGATACCTAGCATTGCTCTTCAAAAAAACGTTTCCCATTGACAGGAAAAAAAAAAAAATTCCTTCTCTAATGAACTTTTTTTCCATTGAAAAAATAAAAACTATAAAACAAATTGAGCAGGATACGTTGTTGTTGGAAATAATCAGTGTTGTATCATGTTTAGCTTATCACTAGCTTTACTTATCATGAGTTTATTGCCTAAAAATAGTGAATTGTTAACTTCTCAGCAATAAGATACAAAATACTGTTAGAGGATTGCAGAGATGCAGAGGTGCATCAATATTTGACAATGCGCAATTTATGTTTATATTATAAAAATGTTTTGACATGTGCATGCAGACATTGGTAGTTGCTGGTAGTGAGACTTCTTCGACAACTATGGAATGGGCAATGTCACTTCTCCTCAACCATCCAGAGGCAATGCAAAAGGCTTTGGCTGAAATTGATGCTCATGTTGGGCAAGGCCGCTTGTTGGATGAGCAAGACCTCCCAAAATTGAGTTACCTACAGAACATTATTAACGAGACACTTAGATTATTTCCGCCTGCACCACTTCTTGTGCCACATGAGTCTTCAGAAGATTGCACCCTTTGTGGATTTGAGGTTCCCCGAGGGACAATGTTGTTGGTCAATCTGTGGACAATTCACAGGGACCCCGAGCAGTGGACCAACTCAACAAAATTCATGCCAGAAAGATTTGAAACAGGAGAAGGTGAAGGATATAAATTAATTCCATTCGGTGCTGGAAGGCGGGCTTGTCCTGGGACTACCTTGGGAAAGCGGGTTATGGCGCTAGCGCTAGGAAGCTTGATTCAGACCTTTGAGTGGAAGAGGATTGGCAAAGAGGAGATTGACTTGACAGAGGGGACAGGTCTCTCCATGCCCAAAGCCAAGCCTTTACAAGCTTTGTGCAAACCCTGCCAAGGCACCGCCAACCTCCTCTCTAAAGTGTGAAGCATTTATCCACTTTTGTTTTTTTGGTGTGTGGTGTGTGTTTTAATTTAACATGTATGCCAGGCATTCTTGCAGGCAGACCTTTTTAAGTTAAATTTGGTGTTTAAATTTGTAGTGAGACACTGTCTTCATTTTTTCGTAAACCAAAGTGGCAACCTTGAAATCAGACTGTCCTCTTTGAGGTTTGAGGCTGCAAGTTCATCAGACGTTCAAAAAATGCCAGTGATCCTCTGCATTCTGAGACCATGACTTCAAGCAGGGTCAGGTTTATGCTTCCTTACTACGCAAAATAACTAGCCACTACTGCATTACTAACAAATCCATCTTCTCTTATTAAAATTGTATCATTACATTACCAAAAGGGTGGCTTGGTAAGGCTTTCTATTTTTGGTAAGGCTTTCTATTAGTGTCTTGGTGGTGTGGGTTCAAGTCACTGTCTCTAGAAATGGGGTTAACCTTTTCCCCTCCCCAAACCTCGGTTTAATAGAGAGCCTCATTCTTTCTTTTTTTTTTTAATCAGCAAAAATGAAACTTTATTGATGACAGAACACATACAATAAATATGATAATACATCAATAAAGGGGAGGTAAGAGCAAAGAGTATCACAATGACGTTCCAAATCCCAACTAGGTTGGCACCGAGAAGATCACACAATCATATGCTAGCTCAAACCAAGGAAATTGGTGAGAAACCAACAAAGGAGAGGGGAAAAGTAGAAAAAAAGAAATCAAAGAAACATACACCAATCAAGGCCCAAACAAAACTAAAGAACCAAACTGCTGCCTGAAACCGAACTGAAGGCAAAATCCACTAATTGCAAAAATCACAGCTCAGAACAAATAGCAGTAGCAGATCAAAAGCCCAATCCTCTGCCTCTCTCAAAACCAGATGGCAGCTCTCAGATGCATTTCTTTATCTGATCCAGGTTGTTGATGAAGTCATTAACACAGTACATAATCCCTTTTGATGAAGCTTTAAGCCATAAGGCAAATCTGATCATGATAGTCTCACATAACTCTGATCCACAAGGCTGCACTCCATTAAAAATACAATCATTTCTTGACTTCCAAATGGACCAGAGAACAATTGGAGGTAAGGCTCTCCACAATCTACTACCAATTTCTTATGTTTACATCCTAATCACCAATGATATAAGCTATCAATAGACCCTGGCACCACCCAAAGACACCCGGCCATTGCAGCAAATCGGTCCATATTTTCCAAGAGAAGGAACAGTGCAGGAGCACATGAATAGCAGATTCATTATCAATTTTGCGAAAGGCACGTAAGGTTGAAGCACTACTGTTAAGGATAACTATATGCTGACCCTCATTCACATGCACTATGTTACCTTTTTCATCCAGAACTTATTATAGACTCAAACTTCTTGGCTCAACTAACCTGAAAATTTTGAAGTTTTGGAAACCATTTTCACTTTTAGAGCAAAGGCCTTATATTCTGCATTCCAATAACAATGTGACCAAAAAGCTTAAATACACGAACATCAATTAATTTAGTTGTCAAATAATTATTTGAGCAATGTAATTAAAATAAATCTACTCATCGGACCAGATTGACTGATTGTATTGAAGACAAACTTATTTTCAGCTAACTAGCTAGAACACAATTGAACTGATCGATAAATCACTCCAAAGCCCTTAGGACAGTGGCGGATGGAGTCTGGATCGTCTGCTGTGGTTTCCTATGGTAGCCTCTGCGGCGGTCCAAAACGACGTCGTTTTGGACTTTTTTTTTTCTTCTTCTTCTTTTGCTTTTGAGCCTCTTTTTCTTCTATCTTAGCTCTCAAATCAGAGAGATGAAGATGGACGACGATGGCGATGATGGCACAGCGACAACGACAACGACAGTGGCCATCCCCACCCTCGCCCGCTCTTTCCCAACCCCTCCCAGTGCCACCGCCGCCGAGGTGCCACCGCCATCCACACCCTTTTGTGTCTAGGCCACTCTATTACACATCCTCCTTGCAAAGAAGAGGTAGCATCAGATTTCCTCCCCAGATCTGGACGGTTCTATGATGCCAATAGATTCTACGAAGAACACCAGCCCCATTTCTTGGAGGCTTATTTTCTTTGCAAGAAAGACCCTTTATGGGAAAGTTGAATTTTCTGGAAAAATTTTGTTTAATCACGAAAAATTCTATATATGTTGGGGGAAAGACCAATTCTTTTTGCTCTGCAAAATATGGTCTTACTAATTGGAGATGGGTCTAGGATTGAATCGGAAAAGAATGAGATTTTCCTAGTGTTTAAGGGAAGAAGAGGGGCCAATTTGAGGGAAGCACAAGAGAAAGAAGAGAAGACCCATTTTGAGGACTTTTGTTTTTTTTAATTTTTTATTTTCATGTAAATAAATGTAAATGCTTATATGAGGCTTTGTTTTTGTGGGGTGAAGAGAGGCTGGAGTTTGTGGTCAGCTTCCATGTCTGCAAGAGACGCAAGAGCATTGTCTTCTTCAATGAAACAAGACCTTCTTGTGGCTGTAGTCCATGAATGTGTTCTAATTGATGTGGGTTTTGCTGAGAGAGAGAGAGAGAGATATATGATGATTGAAACAGGGTCTTCTTGTGGCTGCTTTATTTCTTCTCCCTCCTCTCTGGTTCTGATCTGCGTTTTTTTTTTGTTTTTTTTGAAATTTTACCCCAAAACGACGTCGTTTTGAGACAATGTAGGACGAGCTGTAGAAAAGAACGGCAGAGGATCCGGACTCGAGCTATATATACGTATAGGGGCCATAGCATCCCCACTTAAAACAAATAAATAAAAACAAAAACTATACAAGAATATTTTATCAAAATACAAAGAAATTCTTAGAGAGTATTTGGTTTACTAAAATGAAAGTAGAATAAAATTATCATTCTAATAAAATATTCATTTTTACATTTGGTTTATTAAAAATATGATAGGCAATGCATAGTTAGTGAAATTATCATTAAACATTCAATACAATAAATAAGAGTTTTAGAGACTAAATATTTTGGTTTCTAAAAATGAAAATTTTGTTGCAAAAGACATTTAAGGATCAATTTTGATCATCATGAGAGTAGTCGCTAAAAAGTCGTCTCGAAAAGTCCAAAATGAGGCTTTTGAAAATGTCACTAATAAATAGACTTTTAGAGACAAAATAATTTTGTTTCAAAATAGTTTATTTTTTTAGACAAAAAATTTGGTCCCAAAAGGATAATAATTCATCATTAATATCTAATTTTTGTTGCTAAAACTATAATAACAGCCCTTTTCGCAACAAAAATATTTAATCCCTAAATTTTAGCCTTTAAAATCTTAATTTTTTGTAATAATTGTAAATGAATAATCATTTTATAGAGAGACTAAGAAATGACTCTATTCCATTTCACCTTCACCAAAAACTACACAAAAGTGTCCTTTTTAGTCTTTTACTTTATCAAAGATCCAAAAACCTTGATTTAAAAACAAGTCCCAAAAATAAAACATTACCCTAGTTTTAAAAAAAATACAACTGTCAAATTTCTTTTCAAATACAATGACAGTGATAAAAATTAAAATTAATAAAATTGTAACTACACTTGACTATGTCAAAAAAAATAAAAATAAATTGTATTATCAAGTTAAATGAATATGTTAAGAACACTTAAATTTATGATTTAGTTGTTAATTATTTTCTAACTCAAAAAGAGAGAAAATATATTTCAAATAAAAAATTACAAAAATATTGAAAGATGCAAAAACATTATTTAAAATTATTGCTTTAAGTTTAAAAGTATCTTGAGGCAACCCAAATTGATCGAAACTTAATTTCGTATAATTTGCTCCCTTCCAATTACAACCCACATGTGGTTTTATTTCAACATATCTCTTTGTTAGTATTTAGTATAAATATATTATATATTATAATTATTTCATTTTCATTCAAACAACTAGTACAATTAATTAATTAATTTTTTTTTTGGTGTGTGGAAAACAATCAAATATATATATACAAATAATTATATTCGATAAACATATTTATGTATATAGATATGCACTTTAAAATATAAAAATAATTTAAATCAATGTATCTCAATATCTATATTTTTATTTAAGTATGACTAATTATGAAATTATAATTCGATTTAAGTTGACTCAATAGTCAAACTAATGATTTTTGTCTTGATTCATTTTTTGATTTGTAATTTTTCAATTTTTAACATGTAAGTGATTCGTTAGAATAGTGTGATGATCGAAAATAACATTTGTCATGTTATGCTTGTTAGGTTTTTATAATTGGTAATTCTGTTTGACAAAACCCTATTCAGTTATAATTTTATTTGTTCTTGTGTTTTAGTGAAGATGTGAGTGTTTAGATGTGAATTCAATCCAAATTGTACCTATGCAGAAGAGTTTGTGATCTTAATCCTGTCATGTTCGCCACTTCGCTAACTGAGTACAGGGATCGAGTTGCCCAGTCAGCTCACGGGGGTCTAGGGGGCAGCGCTCCATGGCGGGTCCGAGGTAGCACCTAGGCGGAGTCGAGAGGGAATGCCCTCCAAGCAAAAAGCAAAAATGCAGTCGAATTTGTTTGATAGCTCGAGTGGTCATTTGTGCACTCAAGCGAAGAAAATAATCATCTAGTACTTTTGCAGAGCGTCTAAACTTTTGGGAAGAAAGTTTTACCGCTTGAGCAGTGAAAGTTGCGCTCAAGCGGTCAGCTTATATTTTTCACACTGCCTTTAGACATATCGCTCGAGCGGTGAAATGTGCGCTCAAGTAGTCTGCGCGATCCTATTTTCTATAAAGTGCATTGTTCGTTGTTTTTAGGGTTTGAGCCGTCCATATTTCCAGAGAGGAAGAAAAAACAAAGTGTTTTATATTGGAAGGTGATTTATGAGTATTTCCTTAATGATTTAAGAGTGATCAATGGATCCATGAATTTTATTTTAACATCATCAAGGGATTTGTATATTTCTTTTTATTCACAAAAGAGAGAGTTGTTCGTCGGTGGATTCCAGGAAACTTAAGCCTGAAGCTTTGGTGGATTCTAGAGTGGTTCATTGTCATGGATTCAACATCAGCATTGTGGATTCAACGTTGGACAAGACAATTTCAAGGTGAAGACGGTGGTGGAAGAGGCATGTTGGGGTTGGTTCAATTCGGGTGTAGATTCGCTAGGTAATTGAGAGTACACTTGTGTAATTCTTTTTTATCTTCTTAATAGATTGTTTTGTAGCTTTGGCATGTGATTTTTTTTATCACAATTGGAGGCGCTCCAATTGTGATTTTTTCACGTTAAATCGTTGTATCAATTTATCTTGATTGTTTAATTAAGAGTGTTATTTATTGTTTTAAATTGAAACA